GCAGAGAATGTTCAAATATTTATATTCACCTATGGCAGAGAATGTCAAAGATTCAGATTCACCTGTGGCAGAGAATGTTCAAATATTCATATTCATCTGTGGCAGGGAATGTTCAAAGATTCAGATTCACCTGTGGCAGGGAATGTTCAAGTATTCATATTCACTTGTGGCAGAGAATGTTCAAAGATTCAGATTCACTTGTGCAGAGAATGTTCAAAGATTCAGATTCACCTGTGGCAGGGAATGTTCAAGTATTCATATTCACTTGTGGCAGAGAATGTTCAAAGATTCAGATTCACCTGTGCAGAGAATGTTCAAAGATTCAGATTCACTTGTGCAGAGAATGTGCAAAGATTCAGATTCACCTGTGGCAGAGAATGTTCAAAGATTCAGATTCACCTGTGCCAGAGAATGTTCAAAGATTCAGATTCACCTGTGGCAGGGAATGTTCAAGTATTCATATTCACTTGTGGCAGAGAATGTTCAAAGATTCAGATTCACCTGTGCAGAGAATGTTCAAAGATTCAGATTCACTTGTGCAGAGAATGTTCAAAGATTCAGATTCACCTGTGGCAGAGAATGTTCAAAGATTCAGATTCACCTGTGCCAGAGAATGTTCAAAGATTCAGATTTACCTGTGGCAGGGAATGTTCAAAGATTCAGATTCACCTGTGGCAGAGACTGATTCAGTGTGTTTAGTCAATGCTTGGAGCAAGGATGCTAAGTTATGATGCAATAATTGACAGGCTCAATAATATTCAACTAATTCAGCATTAAGTCCAAAATTGGAGTTATTAAAATGCACATATTACCATGCATTGGTGTTATGCTCTGATTTAAAAATCGCTGACTCATGTAAGTTTAGTTTATTATTGTACAATGTGTCTGTCATGTCATCACTTGTTTATTTGCAATGTACACATTGTAAATCTTTCATGCAATTTCTCATTTTTAATTGTTTCCAGGCATCAGTCGATTTTCTTCTTATCCAGTTTGGTGTGTCTGTTTTTACCTATGACAAGAACAAAGCAAGGCAAGTCTATTAGATGTTAATACCCAAAATAGACTCATCGTTTATCTTAGTTGAGCAACAACCAATCAAACCCTGTGTATTAATGCGCAGACACTGAATAACTGAGTTTGTTTTAGTAAGGTCCTCTCTAAATGGTCGACAATGGTTCTGTCAGATATAAAAAGTTTCAAATAATGAACATTTGTGTTTTCTTGCAGATATATTGCACAGCCATTCAACTTCTACATATTCCCACGACCAATGAACAGCCGACATGCTCCAGATAAAATCTTTCTCTGTCAGGTAAAGTAAATAATTCACTGAACTGATTGACACCATGCACTGATAGCACCAACTATTCAAACATTTTTCATGATTGTATAGCATCAAAACATTTTGTAATGAGAGTTTCTTTATTTTTATTTTTTTACTATTTTAACTTCTCGGATTCTACAATTTCTGTTTTAGTTTAGGGCCAAATGTACACAGTTTATAAAATGTAACAAAAACAACAGATGATAAAATAAAATGCATAAATAATTTGATGAAGTAAATTTAATTTTTTCTTTCTTTATAGAGTTCAAGCATTGATTTTCTCATATCACAAGGATTTGATTTTAACAAACTATTCAAAGAAGGTAATGAAAACGGTTGGTTTTTACATGAAAACAACTGAGGCTGACTACCGGGTATTCATATCTGTCTGTGTTATCCCAATGATGAAATCAGTTGTGATTGAAGCAAAGTCAGAAGCCATATTACACAGATTTGCTTAGAATCTAATTTTTTGTGTGCAAAGCAACAATTCCTGACATGCATGTATAAAATGTCACTGTTGTCTTTTTGTCTTTTTATTTATTTGCGCATTGCATACGCTAATGGTACATATATTACCTCAGAAACCATATTCCATATTTAGGACTCCATGGCCTTTGTGTTGTTTGACCTTCTTCCTAGCATAATGGTAGTTTAATGTGTTTTCCTAGTTTCAATCAGGATTGGTCAAATACCTGCCGACCTTAACCAATGTCCTCCTGGTTGGTTACATCCATTAGTGTGGCATTTGCCTTCCCACTAAGTCTGTCATATAGTCACGCAGGGCACCCAGAGTTGACTGTTTAGTGCTTAACACAAGGTAGGATTAGTGCAACCTGCTCTGTGCTACCAATGATCGGCCATTGCAGTAATCTCAAGACAGGATGGCAACACATCAATTCTAGACTCCTAATTAATTTTCTAGGCATCCCGTACCTCATGCCTATGGAGGAGAACTTACTTCGTGAACAGCTACAACAGAAGCATGCAGTGGCCTCCACATCTGACGACTCGTTTCGTAAGGTTGCTGCCAGTCCCTCACTTGTGTCACCACCAGCTAAGATGTCAAATATACCGATTCCAGAAGAATATAAGGAATTCATCGAGAACACATGGTATGTTTTATATTTATTTTTTAATCAGATAATACTGAAGATACCAGTGCAAGTAAATAAATGAGAATGGCGTGTTTGTGTTAAATCACCAATGTTCTCCAGTGTTCATTGCTGTGACCATCATTTTAATTATGTGTATGAATCAAAGAACTTATTCATAATCATTACATGGGTAATGCAAATTATTTAAAATGACAAATGAGCAAGAAAAAGTTGTGAGTGGGGTCATGAAATGTGTTGATGGTGCAAGCTATACATGTATGTTAAATAAAAGGGAAGTGGTCACATCTCACATTTAACTTTCCTCTAGTCAGAAAATCAAAGAATTTATTGAAGACAAAGACGCTGAAAAACTAGAATTAGATCCATGTAATGCGTAAGTTTATTTTTATAATTTTTTTTTTCTTGTTGCTAAAATGCTTAAAATTTAACTGAGTGCTAGTCCCTGAAATGTTTAAAGTGTTTACAAACATGAATTCTTATTGATCAAATAAGATTTATTATAATTCTTATTAATATTATTATTGTTAAAAATACTACTCATCAAATACACAAAGCAACTCGCTTCAGTAGCTTGGGTGATAAGATCAAATATGTAGACATTGTAGAAATTGGGAATTAGAAATTTTTTGGGGGGATA